AATGGGATAAATCCATGGTGTAAAAATTAAAAACACAGTGTTGTGCTTTCCAGAAAAAAAAAGTATTATGTTGTTTCAAGCCATATAGTAAGAGGAGGGGATAACTTATCTGTAGACATATATGCAGTAGTTTTTTTTTCATCTGGCAGACTTAATTAGATCATAATAAGCAGATAATTATTTCCAAAACAGTGCATCTTTCTCAAGGATAGAAAAGAAAAAAAGATAGTGGGCATGTTTACTTAATTAACTCACTTTGGGGTCTGTATACTTGGACTTTCACCATTTCCAGCATGGCCTCCTTCAAGTCCACACATTCTCTGTTCTGAAAGACAAAGAGTATGAAAGTCACACTACCAAATTTAACAACAATTTCTACAAGGAGGGAGGCAGTGAAGAAGAAGAGGCTGTCTTTCAGCACTTTTTATTAGCCAAGTTGCTATGAACCCCTGAATACATTCACTCTTTCATTGGGGACCAGGGTTAAGCAAGCACTGAGCAAAATGAAGAAGAAAAGAAGAATCTGCCAAGAACACTGGGAGAACTACTGGAATGAAAATTAAATGGAACTGTGTTGGCCAAGTCATTCACTGCCTTTGTCATATGCCCCAGTTTCAAGCAGGCTCAACTCTTGCGAGATGCTCCACATTCTCCACCTCCTGCTGAAGCCAGGAATTCAGCTGTTCACAAGGGGCAATGCAACCCCCTTCATTATAATGGCTTTGCTGAGAATACACGAGGGCAATGGTGACCTGGCTCCAAGCTTCATTTATTTTCTGTAATTGGTATTAGCTGCCCGATAATTTAATCCCGGACTTGGTGGTTTCATTTGTAAGACAGTGCAAGAGGAAGAACTAATTAAGGGAATAATCAAGTGTTCCCACTTCAAGAAAGACACAGAGTGCTAGGCACTGGCTCTTGCTTCTTTTGCTTGAGATACCCTCCCTCCAAAGGTAAATTGCAGCTTATATTTAGGAGGATGAGGAGTACCCAACAGGGTAACAAATATCTGTAGGTCACATGCTTGAAAAAGTACTTGTCTAACTGCCTTGCTATGGCTCTACAGCTTTGTCAATACGATTTCTGACTGAGTGAAGAGAAATTCTGCACTTATACTCACTACCAGTCAAAAGAAACAATATTTAAGACATCACAGGATACCTCCTGAAAGGCTGCATGAACTATAAGAAGCATAGTAGCCCGTTTTTGTGAATTGCTAGGCAGCTGCTGAAGCAGTCTTCATTTACAGGGTGGTATATATCTCAAATGGGGACGCGGTGGTGCAGCGGCTTAATGACGCTGAAAGTTGCCGGCCAGAAATGTTTGACACTTCAGCAGTTTGAGCCCAGCTCCACGTGGCAGAATAAGGTCCTGTCTCCTCCCCAGCTTCTGCCAACCCAGCAGCTCAAAAACTTCTGTGAGTAGATAAATGGGTACTCTCACCCTGGTGGAAGGAAAAATGCTGGCAGCGCCTTGCATGGGAGACGGGCCCAGTTGCCGGTAACGCAGAAGCCACGTACGCCCGAAAAAGGCGCAAAGCAATGGAAACCCCGCCTCCTGTGCTCGCCAGCTGGGCTCTGCCCTAGGAAGGAGGCAATGGCAAACCA